AACAGGGTCATGGCTCTGAGCTCTAGGAAGGGGTGTCCTGGTGCAAGTGCCCCTCTAGAGACTTGGATACATGGAGAGACAAGACAGGAAGGCTCTGAGGAGTCCCTGGCACCTGTGAGTGAGACCAGGGTGAACACATGTCTCCCAGGTGCCAGCACCTGCCTACCTGGCCTGCTGCACTGGGCACTTGTCCTGGTTCTTCAGGAACACCTGGCGAATGACACTTGGGCTCATGAAGTCCACGAGGTTGACCAGGGCTCTGGGCACCTACGAGCAAGACCAGAGATGAGGGAGGAGGCCTGGGGCTGCTTCCTCCAGCTGCCTTGGTGAGCTGAGAAGTGGGAACGGGTTGGGGGGCTTTAGAACTCCAACTCAGTGGCCCAGAGGGTAGTTATGGGGAGGGCTCTGCAGGCTGTGCACCACACAACTGTACGAGGGCCACCCACGTGGGACAGCTGGGTGACACGAGTCTAAACCCTGGGAGTTCCGCGCAGCTCAGCCATCATTTAGTGAGGCCCCATCCCTTACCCCCAGCATGCTGAATTTAAATTGGGAGACTGGAAACCTGCCCATCCCCTTCCAGGGCATCTGGCCAAACTCCTTTGAGCACTCCTGGGGACTCAACCACCGCAGAGGCACCTGGCAGGTAGTGTGCCCTCCTGGGTGGCTGAAGCAGGGGGCCCTTGTCACGGGACAAGGAGAGGGCAGGCTGCTGGGGATCAGTCTAGTGAGGGCCTTGCTTAAGACCAGGGGTGGGGAACCTCGTTTCTGCAAGGACCATGTGGGTATTTATCTTCTCATTAGTGGGCCATACAAAATTATCCACTCAAAAGTCAGTCGGTCATTTGGTCAATCATGTAATTCATTGACCACTAATGCGATGGCTAGAAATGCCTGTCTTGAGTGACTCTGTGACTTTAGCTGGTGTCGATCATTTGGGGCCAGATGCTCCCCACTCATGCCCTAGACCGTAGGTTTCCAAACTCATCTGGTGTGTTGCCCCCTTTTCAGGAAAACAGGAAGAAAAGTACTCAGCCCCCACCTGTTGGCAGTTGAAACCTTTGTACCACAGCCCATATCCAGGATAAAGTCCACCTGCCTGGTTTTGCAGCCCCCCTGCATCTTTGCAGGGCCCCCACTGGGCAGCATCACCGCTTTGGGAAGCACCGCGCTAGGCCCTCTCCAAGGCTTGGACACAGGTCCCAGCCTGGGGCCAACTGAGAGGCACCCCAAGCAGCTCCCACCACCAGGACTGTCCTGACGTGAGTGGGGTGCCCATTAGAGCACACACAGCCTTCCTTCTTCCAGCTGAGGTCCCTCTGGACTCTATTCCTCAGGGTGGCCCCAACCTCTGGAGAGGGGTGGAGAGCAGGCCCTTGCCCTCTCCTTCCAGGGAGGAGCTACTTCCACCTGGTTCCCCCACACAGCTGGCAGGCTTGAGCTATGCCAGGTTGTGGGAGCCTCCCACCCACCTCTCTGTGCAAGACGTCCAAGGCTTTGCGGAGATGTGCAGTAAAGTTGGCTGCGGAATACGTCTTCTGGAAGAGACAGGGGGTGGGGGCACAAAGGGAGGAGCTGGTTAGGGTAGATGGGCAGCGGAACAGTGCACACAGGTTTCTCTTCTGACTCTAGCTCTGAGCACTGCGCTCCCCTGGCCGCCAGCTGAGACCCCCTGAGATAAACCTTTGACAATTCCAAGTTGTTCAAACTGGGCCAGCCAGAAGATTAGACCTTCCAGCCAGAGCTTTAGCTCAGGAGCAGAAAGGAGAGGGTCCTGCTTCTTCTCGTTCTGGATTCCTGGGGGTCTGGGGGCACCGCGTACATGCTTCCTCATGGCACCAGAGACCCAAAGAGGGACCCCCAAACCCCAGGATTGTGGCATAAGGTGTGTTTATGCGCTCGCTCTCGCTCTCGCTCTCTCTCCTAGGCGCAGTTGAACGATCCCAGGATTGTTGCAGGCACTGTTCTGAGCGCGGATCGTTCCTGTGTTAAATCAGGCGCAAGGAGTAGGCACGCCCCTCCCCGCTCACCGAGTCCGTGCAGTAGTCACAGAGATCGGCGCTTCCAATCAGCACGGTGATGACCTTCCAGTGGCGCTGGAAATCCACTCTCTACACAGCGGGGAGAGGAGACCTGTGACTCCAGGCGACACACAGCGAAGCCTCCGGCTCTCATCCACTCAAACCCCCACCACACGCCCGTGCCCCCTTGGAAGGCCAGACGTGGAACCTCAGAGGGGAAGGCATTTGAGAGACGTCATTGTGCACCACCGAATCTCGGCATTTCACTTGGGGACCAACCCAGGGGGCTAGACTGAGTTTTCATCGACACGAGTAACGCTGACTCACCGTGTCCGCTTTCATCCTCTGCACTAGAGCGTGGGCTTGGTCCACGAGGTCCCTGAGAAGAGAAGAAAGCAGTGCCGTTGGGGCTGAGCCACCGAACCCAGAGTGGTCCTCCCAGGGACGTGAGCAGGGGGCCGCATCACCGGCTGCAGGAGCCTGCGGCAGAGCCTCTGGCGAGGCTGGCCTCTCTGCAGCATCACTGTGACAAATAAGCTCGGGGAGGCCCATCTGTGCTTGCTCTAACGGGTGCTGCACACACGTCTGCTGCCCCTAGTCTCGCTGCTGGGACTCCACACACTATTGCCTTAGGGTCCCAGGCCAGGAACCCCGCGTCTCTTCTGAGGGCTTGCATAAATAGCCTCAGCCCAGACCTCTGAAAGCACACTTCTAATTTCGTTTTGCTTCCCTGAGATTCTGAAGCTCACACACTCACTTAAAAAAACTCCATCAAGTGTTTTCCGATTCAGAGAAACGGACTAGTAACTAAAACTGCTGATGTAAACAGAGTGCCCCCAGCCCGCCCCCCTCCAATGGACCTTCACTACATTCATTGTTAGTTCCATTCATGGGTGAAGGATGGGACATGCCGCCGCGAGTGCTCTAGGGTTTAGGGCCCCTTCATCTTTTGAGCTATCCCTAGGCTTTCCGTTTGCCGTACTGTGGTGGCTTGTGTATTGCTGTGATACTGGAAGCTACATCACCAGTATTTCAAGTAGCAGTAGGGTCATTCAAGGTGAACAGGTTTACTCAGACCTTCCGGATTCAGAACAGGCTACGACGAAGGAGGAATAAATAGCCTGCCCACTTCTGATTATCCACGGGAAGCCTTATGCATCGCAGTGGAATGTTGTCCTATGTACAGGCTGGAAGGCACTCAAAATACAACTGAGGAAGTGTTGCTCCCTCGGAGTAGAGTTGAGTGTAATGATAAAAGGCTTTGGGATCTTCATTTGCTGATGGGGCATGACTCAGAGTAAGAAGAAACAGCTACAGCTATCTCAATTGGAACATGGAATTTACTGAGTATGAATCTGGGAAAAGTGGGAGTCATCAAGAATTCAGGGACACACATAAAGGTCAATATTCTATGCATTAGTGAGCTGAAATGGACATATTAAATCAGAAAATCAGACCGCTTGCTATGGCAGGAATGACAAAATCAAGAGGAACAGCACACAATTCATCATCCAAAAGGACACTTCAAAATGTATCTTGAAGTGCTGTCTGTGAGAGGACAATACTTTTATTCGTAATAAGAAATCCAGTTAATACAAATATTATTCAACCACTAAAGTCAGCGATAATGAAATTGAAGCCTATCAACTTCTCCAGTATGAAATTGATCAAACAAGCACTCAAAATGTATTCCTAATTATTGGTGATTGGACTGGGAAAATTGTAAAGGAAGAAGAAGGCAGAATAGTTGGAAAATATGACCTTGGTAATATGGATTAACCTGGAGATCACATGATAGAATTTTTAGATGCAAATACCTTTTCTTCAACAACATGAACGGTAACTACACACTTGGGTCAGGCCAGATGGAATACACAGGGATCAAATAGCCTACATCTGGGGACGAGACTACGGAGATGCTCAATATCAGTCAAAACAGGGCCAGGACCTGACTGTGGAACAGAGTGTCCATTGCTCCTATGTAAAATTGAGGCTGAAGTTGAAGAAAATTAAAATAAGTCCATGAGAGTGAAAATACTACCTTGAGTCTATACCACCTGAATTTTGAGAAGATCTAAGAATGTATTTGAATCAGTAAACACTAATGACTGGAGATCAGATGAGCTGTATAATGACATTAGGAACATCACACATGAAGAGAGCAAACATTATTTAAAAGACAGGAGAGATCAAAGTGGATGTCAAAGAGACCTTGAAACATACCCTTCAGGGTAGAGTAGCTAAAACAAAGGGAAGAACTGATGAAATTAAAAGAACTGAACAGAAAGTTTCAAGGGCAGCCCCAGAAGACAGAGTAAAGTAGTATAGCACAGTGTGCGAAGGCCTGGACTTGGGAAAAGAAGAACATGCACAACCTATCTTAAGCTGCAAGAACTGAAGGGGAAAAAAATCAAGCCTTGGGGTCTACTATTGAAAGATTCTTTGGACACAATATTGAATCATGCAGTTGGCATCAAAATAAAATGGAACTAATACACAGAATCACTGTGCTAAAAAGAATGTGTGGTCATTCAACCATTTCCAGAGTTAGCATATGATTAAAAATCAATGGTACTGAAAGAAAGCCAAGGTGTGATACAGGCATTGGTGAAAAACAAGGCTACAGGAATTGATGAGATACCAATTGAAATGTTTTGTCACACCTATGAAGGATTGGAAGCACTTATTTACCTATGCCAAGAAATCTGGAAGACAGCTACTTGCCCAATTGATTGGAAGAGGTCCTTATTTATACTCATTCGAAGAAGTGACCCCACAGAACATATAAGCCATTGAACAATGTCATTGATATCACCTGCAAGTAGAGGTTAGCTGAAGATCATCCAACAGCTGTTGCAGCGTTATATAGACAGGAAACTGCCAGAAATTCAAGATGGATTCAGAAGAGAAATGGAAGAAAAGATATCATTGCTGATGTCAAACGTATCTTGTCCGAGAGCACGGAATACCAGAAAGATGTTTGCTTGTGTTTTATTGACTACAAAACGGCATTTGACTGTGTGGATCATAGCTAACTATCGATCGCATTGAGAATAATGGGAATCACTGAACACTACATTGCACGTGCAGCACCTGTGCACAGAGCAAAAGGCAATCTTTCAAGCAGAGCATGGGACTACTGAGGGCTTTACTATCAGGAAAGGTGTGAATCAGTGTTGTATCTTCCCACCAGTCTATTCAATCTGTATGCTGGGAAAACAATCGGAGAAGCAGGAGTGTAGGAGGAAAACCCTGCCTCGGGATCTAAGGAAGTTTTAGAAACAAGCGCTGATATATAGATGGCACAACCTTGCTTGCTTCAATTGCTGATGGCGATCCAAGATTGCAGCCTTCAATACTGATTACAATTCAATGTAAAGAAAACGGATGTTCTTACACTAACATCACCATACACTGAGAAAAGATTGAGGTTGTTGAGAATTGTTATCTTGCTTGGACCCACCATCAATGCTAATCGAGGCAGCAGTCAAGAAATCAAACCACATATTGCAGTAGGCAACTCTGCTGTACAAGGCCCCCTGAAAGTGTTGAAAAGCAAGGATGTCACTTTGAGGACTCAGGTGCGACGGACCCCGGCCACAGTATTTTCAGTCACCTCATCTGCATGTTCAGGTTGGACATGGAACAAGTTGGCCCAAGGAAGAGTCGATACATTTGAATGATGCTGCCGGTGAAGAATACCGAAAGTACCATGGGCTGCCAGAAGAACAAACAATTTGGGAAGAAATAGAGCCAAAATGCTTCTGGAAGTGAGGATGGCGAGACTTCATCACACGTACTTTGGATGTCTTATCCGGAGAGACCAGCCCATGGAGAAGGGCATCCTGCTTGGTAAAGTGAAGGGGCAGGGAAGGGGAGGGGCCTCTCAACAAGGGACTGCGACATAAGAACAACTGTGAGGGTGGCAAAGGGCCAGGCAGTGTGCCTTCTGTTGTCAGTCAGAATGGACTTGACAGGCACATCACAACAACAACAACAACAACAAAAACCCCAGCATCATTTGTAGCCCTTGCCACTTGCAAGACTGAGGGAGTGCCTCTCTCTAGCACTGTGCTCTCATGGCAATCTTCCAAAACCTAGATAAGACTGGCTGGTGAGCCTAATGACTAGAGCATGCTGCCCATGAAGTAAGACCTGGAGTGCAGCCTCGGGGGGCCTTGCTCTAGCCCCGGCTGCTGTGTCTCTTGTTGCCCTCCCGGTCACAGGAACGGCGAGGCGAGAGAACTGCTGAGATTCCCCCAAGTCATTCCTGCTGATGGATGAACATCCCCTTGGGAGAAGCACACCCAAGTCAGCTTAAGGGTCCCAAAGGGGGCTGTGTGCCTCCCTCTCCCCTTCCAAAAGCCCCTTCCCCAGATGCCATACCTAGTCTTTGCTCCAGGAACAGCCTGATTGAGGAATGCATTTGTTTCATTAGCATCACCGGTGCCCACGGCGTAGCCTGTGAGACTTGGATTAAACTCCCGGAGGATATCTGGAAGAGAAGCGGGTGAACAGGCCACAGAGAGCTCGGGCTAGAGGGCCAGGGTGTCTTTTCTGCTCCTGTGGGGTCCTGAGGAGTGTCTGGGCAGCAGAGGCAGCACGGGGAGTTGGGACCCTCCCCAAGTAAAGAATAGGTCACCCAAGGGTGGCTTGGGCCACTGCAGCACGAGTTCCACCCCACCCCTTGCCTTCCACATCCCGGACCCCCAATTTACAATTCATAGTCCAGCGAATTTTTTGTCTCTAAAATTCCTTGGGTCAGCCGCGACAGCCTTTTACAGTTGAGGCCATCTGAGGCTCCGAACCCGAAGTTATTTGTCCTAATTATCTGGTAAGCAGGTAGGAAGGCCAGAACTTAAACCTGGGTCTTCTGATCTGAATTGCAATACCCTTTCCACCATCACAAACCTTACCCCCACCCCTGGGATGTCCATGGATCCCTCTCCTGACTTCAGTCTTCAATGGCAGCTCACGGGAGAGATGCATTTGGTCATTTTAGCTGTGAGGGGCGCTCTGGGAGCTTAGGACTCGGACGGAATTGTGGACAGATTCAAGCCCCTGTGGTTACTTACTAGGTAATGTGGTCACATTTTTCAGGGAGTCATCACCGCCTGAACTGTAGGGAGGGAAAGAGGGAGGAAGGCATGGAGGGGGAGGGAGAGGAAGAGAATCAATACATCCACTTTACAAATAGCAGCCCCATCTTTCCTAGGGTAGATCCATAAAACGATGAGGTATCCGCTGCATGTCGGACTTCTGCAGATTCCTGAGAAAATGTAAATTCCCCACGGATTGGGTCTCCTCTCCAAATCCGGGATTTGAAAGCAAAAGAGAATCATTTCCTTTTCTGCTAAGTCAGGAAGAAGAGTCCCTCGCTCAGTATGTGCTAGGTGCTCAGCCCCATGGCCACCTCATGTCTCCCAACGTAGGACTCTCTCTAATCTACAAAGGAGGACATTCTCTTGCAAAAGAGCCTTAGAAACCACCCTTGCTCGAGCTGGAAACATTTAGAAAGTGGGAAAGTTCTCTGCCCAGTGGTCAGGTAAAATTCCACTGACAGGTTCAGTAAAAGATCCCTCCTTGTCCAGTCTAATTCCAAATTCTAATTAGTTTAATGATCCTCAACCGAACCCGAAGAGACAATCTAAGATTTCACTTCCTTTCATGACTTGAAATTGTGTGCCATGCAGGCTGTAGGGAAAGAACGGTTTCTATGTTAACAAATTCCAATATTGAAGACAGACTGTATTTATTCATGTCTTCCTCTTTTGCCTCCCTCCTTGATCCAAGCCTACTCTTCTAGCCCCTAGATATCGAGAACAGCCACGACGCCCAGCCCACCAGCGGAGGTTTCTCCAAGGACAGGCCATCAACCAGAGGCAGGGTGTTCTCCATTCACGGGATGCTTGGAATGAAGTTACGTGTATTTCATACCAAGTGGCCCAAGGCTTAGTCACAGACTCAGCAAGCCGCCCCGTGTGGTGGAGCGGACGGAGCTCCAGTTCCTGCCACCCTTCTATTTCACTGGTGACCTCCAACTCCCATCAAATGCCTGATTAGCATGCGGCCAGTGACGGGTTGTTTACATGAGTTTCCAGTTCTTCCCCAACTTCGCATGAAGCTGCAGCTGCTGCCTGATCCACTCCTGGATTCTTCTTCCTCTGGACTAAAGGCACTTAATCGGAACACCGTGCTTAAGTGGTGTTGGTGTTGTTAGATGCCATCTAGGCAGTTCTGATCCATAGCGACTCCATGCACAACAGAATGCAATAGTGTCCGGCCCTGTGCTACCCTCACAATTGTTCCTGTGCCTTACTGGTCCAGTTTGAGGATCTGGGTCTTTTTTTTTCACATTAAAAATAAAGTCCTTTTATTGGGGGCTCATACAACTCTTATCACTATCCATACATGCATCCATTATGTCAAGCACATCTGTACATCTGTTGCCATCATCATTCTCAAAATATTTGCTTTCTACTTGAGCCCTTGGGATCAGCTCATTTTCCCCCCCTTCATCCCCACTCCCTCCTCCCTCATGAACCCTTGATAATTTATAAATTATTATCTTGTCATAGTTTATACTGTCCGACATCTCCCTTAACCCACTTTTTTGTTGTCCATCCCCCAGGGAGAAGGTTATATGTAGATCTTTGTAATCAGTTCTCCCTTTCTAACCCACCTTCCCTGCACCCTCCCGGTATGGTCACTCTCACCACTGGTCCTGAAGGGATCATCTGTCCTG